CTAGATTGCAAACTCTACATGAAATTGTAAAATAAATTGAGATTTATGGGAAACTTCGACCATGTGACAGACTGTGTGGGAACCCTGTGTGCACGTGTTCCCTTTTAGGTCTGTTTTGGTAGAAAGCTGTGGACGCACAAAGCTAGTTAGGAGAAAAACCAGATCTCCAGCACTGTGATGCAGTCTCTTTATTATCAGTCCAGATAACAGAAAAGAAAGTGTCAACTTAACCCGCTGATGCCTTACTAAGAGCTAGAGTTAGCAGTGGATTTGTTTGTTTCTCCTTTTCATTTTGAGAATTTCCACTTCCAAGTATTTTAAGTTCTGTTATTATAGTAGCATGCCCATTTGAGATGATGCCTTCCTGATGAATCCACTCTTTTCTCTTTTGTTATTATACTGTGTCCCTCTTTATCACAGGGACATTATTCCTTGCTCTGAAGCCTCGTTTTCCAGTATTAATATAGCTATTCCAGCTTTCTTACTTATTGTTAGTGTGCATATTTCCTTCCGTCCTTATAGTTTTAACACATCTGTATCTTTATAGTTGAAGTATGGCTCATCAACAGTATGCAATTGAGTCTTCCTTTTCAGACCAATCTGTTTTTTAATTCCATAGAAAATTGTACATTTAATATAATTACCCATTATGTTTAGGTTAAAATTGACCATTTTGATATTTCTTTTCTATCTTTCTCATCAAGGACCTGTTCTTTTCTTTGGGATTGAGCATTTTTAGTATTTCATTCGATCTTCCCTACTGGTTTATTAACATTTAATTTTTTAAAGTGATTAGTAGCCATTTTAAAGTAGGGTTTTGTGAGAGACGAAAGCTAAAGGAAAGTGAAATGCATGAGTATTTTTAAATGTTTCAATGGCAGTGCTTTGCTCTTAGATGCATAGGATAGAAGTTAACTTACTCTATAGTAAATGTCTTAAAGCATTAGGGCTTAGTTTTTACCAAATTCAGAAAAGTTTTGGTCCCTTTTTAAGGTGAAAGAAGAACAAAACTTTATTGTAAGTTATGAAGATGACACTAGGGTTCTGGGAGGAGAATGGGGAGGGGGAGGAGTCCACTGTAGGCAACAGGGGTGTCCCCTTTGCTCTAGGACCGGAGGGGACAGGACAAAGGCCTTTGTCTACTGTCCTGAGGACTCTGACCACTGGGATCAGAAAACAGCCTCAAATCAGCCACCTTTGGGGACAAGATAGCAGGCAGGGAGCCTCCGGGATTCCAGACGTTAGGACCAGACTTGTGTTTCACATCGAAATGGGGCCTGTGCAAGGTCCAGCCTGGGAGGAAGATGGACACTGATTGGAACTCCCAAAGTTATCAGTTCAGGCCATTGTTCGCCTCTTAGACTCCAAGGGAGTGCATCCCAACCTGGAGAAATATGACTTGGTGGATGGCCCAACAGTTTTGTGTCCTGCCAAGCCCTGGACAGGTGATGAGGGGGCCCTAACAGCAAGGCTTCTCTTTGCTGTGCCCGCTGCAGAGACAGGGCTGCTAGCACAGGCCAGGACAGACATGCCCCTAAAGGCAGCCTTGCTGGGAGTGGTGCCGGGCGCTCGGCTGGAAGGAAAGGGGCTCTGCCTGGGTGTGCCCCTGGGGATGGGACTGAAGAATCTAGGCTGCTGCTTAGTGTTGGGTCCGGTGGTCAGCATGGGGGTGCTCTGGTGAGGAGGGCCCCAGGTGTTCGGGCCCACGCTTCCCCCATGGCAATGTGTGGTGGTCGGTTTCCCGTTGTTCCTCCTGTAATGCTGAGAGCTCAGAGAGGTGGCACAGCTCTAGGTCAGCCACTTGGCTCCTGCAGCCTTTAGATGCTGCCGAGACCCCGAGCCTGAAGGGGGCTGTGCTTGAGCTGTGACCTGTTGAGCAGTGCCACCAACTGTTGGGTCCAGCCCTGGTCACATCGCTAGGCATGTAGGTGGCAGCTGCAGAGCCAGGGGGAACACAGTCGAGGTGGCAGCAGAGGTGGGCTGGGTGCTGGCACGAGCACCGAGGGTGGGCTTTGTGGTTGATGAAGCGTCAGAAGATGCTTGTGTCAGGGCGCCCAAGGCTAGCGGACCTGGAGCAGAGAGTGGGTCTCAGGTTGGGGCTGGAGCTGCCCGGTTTCCACACTGGGGAGAGCTGTCACAGGCGGTGGCTCCGTGCTGCTGCCCATGAGGTGCTGGAAAGATGGGCTGGGTAGAGGTTCCGGTGTTAACAGGAAGTTTCAGAGTCAGGTGGGGCCCATAAAACCTGAGTGCAGACAGGCCGGTGGTGAAGAGGACTAAGGCCATGCTGTCACTGGCAGAAGTCTGCAGGGCCTGCATAGGTTGGAAGATGCTGCCACTGGAGATAGGGAGAGCCTCAAGAGGAGAGGCTGGGAGGGTGGAGTGGTGTCCATGGGGGTGACCCCAGTGTCCGGAGCAGGGGTGACTAAGGCCGTGCTGTCACTGGGGGACATCTGCAGAGCCTGCATAGATGGGAAGATGCTCCCACTGGCAGTAGGGGGAGCTCCCAAGAGGAGAGGTTGGGAGGGTGGAATGGTGTCCTTGGGGGTGACCTCAGTGTCCGGAGCAGGTGGAGCCAGGACTGCCTGGGTCTCACCCCGTAGCGTGCTGTTGATGCTCGGGAACGCTGCTTTCTTCTCCATGTGTAGGTCTTCCGTGGTGACTGGTAAACCCGGTACAAGGGTGTGGGTAGCCTCACTGGCTCCCGTCGCCTGTGTGGCAGCAGAGGAAACCCGCGTCTTCGGGTCCAGGGACCATCAGATGTGTTCCTCCAGGTTCCTTTCTGCCCTCTCGTTGCATCTGCATCCATGTCAGGCCGGTTCTTCTGCTGGGAGACCATTGGAGCTGGGGAGGGAAGCTGAGGGCTCTCCTCCCTCCCTTTCTTTGAGGACTTCGGGAGCAGCCAGGTGTGTGCGGGACCCCTCTTCCTCTGCACTGATGAGAAACCTTGGGTGGGGCTGTCCGATCTCCTGATGGCATTTCTTTAGGGGCAGGAGTTCATACAAGAGGTCTGGGGTTTTTCGATGGATCTGTCTTCTGATCTCTTGGCGTGGAGGTTTCTCTGTAGATACCCAGGCCTCGGCAGGAAAGAAGAGAGGCCTCTATGGACGCACAGGTGCCCATTTCAGATTGTGCACCCCCAGTGCCATCCGGGCTCCTCTGGTCTTCCTTCTTCTCTGTGATTGCCGGCTCTTTCTCCCGCTTGTCCATCCCTTTCCCACTCTCAGCAAGGCACTCCACACCATCTCCGTGCACGAGTCCGGGGCACACCTGGGTGTTGTGGGAAGCTTAGGGGTGAGTGGCTGTTCCTGCACCACAGACAGTGGCTGTGCCCACTGAAGACGCTAAGTTACAGGCCATCGTGGCGGTCTTAGCACACAGCACCGCCTTCCTCCGATGGCCTCGCCTGCAGATGGAGCCAGAAAGGAGCACAGGATCTGAGGGATCATGGAATATCTTCTCTGAATTGCTGTGACAAAGCGTGGATACAAAGTCGCTGGATACTTGTAGGCTGGCCTGCAAGTGGCCAGCAGCTCATGGACAGCTGGGTGACGCGAACAGGCCCGGGGAAGTTGGTGATCGCAGGGAGCAGGCTGGAGGAGGCAGAGCCCTCGCGGCAGCTGCCAGCCCCCCAGTGCCTGGGACGGGGCTGAGGGGCAGGGTCTGCCCAGGTAACTGCCCATAGAGCACTTGGGTACGGTTGGTCCTTGGATGGAGAGCTGGACTCTGAGTGCTGTCCTTTAGCTGCCAGCTCCGCCAAAGGTCAGGCGCACACTGTTTGGCCAATTGCTGGGACGTAGTTCTAGAACCTTGTGAGCAAAGCCTGCGTGTGTGCAACAGGGCCCCTGTGGGACCACGCTTGCACAGAAGACGCATAGGGACCTAGGGCTGCACACGTGCGGATGTGCCCCCCGCCCTCCCACCCCCAGCCCCTCGACACTCTGGCGCTTCCGGATCTCCTGGAGTCTGAGGATTAGAGGCGTTTGCCTTGAAAGGATGAGCGTCTGCCCAGGCCGGGGCCCGAGCTGTCGCGGAACTAACTGTACAGGATGGGTGTTTTGTTTTGTTTTGTTTTGTTTTGTTGTATATGTTTTCTTCCCCCTTCCTTGACTGTGAGCATTGAGACCTTAAGTATAATATATTAGACCACCTGATACTGCCCCAGTATTTCTTTGTGCTTTGGTTTTGGCAGTTTCTACTTTCGTGTCTTCAAATACACTGAACTCGTCTTCTGCAGTATCTAGTCTGTAGTTAATTTCACCCAGCAATTTTTTCATTTCAGAGACTAACTTTTAGCTGTCTAAAAGGTAGACTTAAAAGTTCCAGATGGTTCTCTTTTACACTTTCTAGTTCTCTCCTTATGTGCATTCTTATTTTAAAAATCCTTGAGCACAAATATAAACAGGCATTTTGAAGTCTTTTCCTGCAAATTCCATCATGTCTGTTGTATCTGTTTCTAGCCACTGCTTTTCCCCCTCCGTCCCATGTTTCTGCTTCATCTTGTGTATGAATTTTGGATTGATTACTAGACATTATTTGACTGTGTTGTATACTGCATCCTGCTATACTCCTTTACAGCACGTTGGGCTGTGGACCACAGACAGTTAAGTTCTTTGGCAATGCAGGTGGACCCTCGTTAGGCTTGTTGTTAAGCTTTGTTAGGGCAGGTTTAGGAACTCATTATTGTAAGGTTAATTCTGGCCCTGCTAGCATAATCATGCTGGATATCTGCTTAATTTTCCATTGTGTCCTACAAAGCGTCTCGACTCGGCTACTCAAAATTCGCAGCTTTTCCCAGTCTCTCTTGTGTGAAGTCTGGGAATAAGTCTCCTTGCAGTTTACCTGGTCATTCTTCATGTAGCCTTGTAGAGTTTTACTCTATGTGAGTATGTCTTAAACTAAGCAACAAACTCAAGGTCACCACTGTGCAAGTTTCTGCAATGATTGTTCTGTGTAGCCACTTTCTCTCCTAGAGTGTATCTCACGTATTGAATCTCTGGGTCCACTTGAAAGGACCAGTTAAATGTCTATGTGATGCTTGGAATTCAGCGTTAGAAAAAAATCCTGCCGCCCGTCCTCACTCCAGTGCCAGGGTTTTACTACGGTAAGATATTTGTGTCATTTCTGTACTTAGTCTACCAGATTCCAAGCTGAATTTCAAATCTATTGAAATAGAAGTGAGCTGAATTCACTTCTGTTCTACACAGTGAACAGTACAGAAGCAGAGACACTTTCAGGAGGGAAAAAGTGTTAGGTTTAATAATAGAGAAGAGAGCTGCTCATCTGGTTTTATTGTTCCTGTTGTCCAGAGAGATGCCTCGGTTTACAGAGTTAAGAGGAGGGCAGACGCTCTCAGACTGCTTTATTTCCTAAGGTCATTATCACAATTCAAACAATTCTTTAAATTGTTAACTCTCTTTAGTAAGACTTCCTAACAGGTCTGGATTAGTGAAGTGCTAGATTAGGAAGTACTTTTATCTGTTTTGTCTTCTCAAAAGGTGCACACTAGTACAGAAGAATGTATGTGTTTGCGCCCTTCCTGCACACCCTGAGCCCATTCCCCAGAAGAGAACTTCTGACTGTTCTTGTTTTTTGCACCTCTGATCGTTGTGTCTCTATCCCCAAGTAATAAACTTATATTTAGGCTTCTAGATGTAATAACTTTACATGATATCTATTGATTTTCCTAGATTTAAACATTAAAGTTTTATAGTTCATCATCAGTAATCTTCACCTGTCCCTCTCAATACTTAGTGTTTTTACTAATTATTTATGAATTTAAGTATACAGAATATAAATTCCCTGCTCCACTAAGCTGACTCTGCATCTCAATTCCTCACTGATATTGAAGCCAACCATACACCTCTCCCCCACCCTTCCACAGCTCACCTTGGGGTGAGCTACACTTTTCCTTTAAGAGCATCAAGACTGTCATCATTCATATCTTGAAGTAAACAGCAATCAAACCTTTTTTTATCACAGACTGGTTCTAAAAGTTGAAAATCGACAACCAGCATTTACATTATGATGTATCAATATTATTTAATGCCCGGTTAAGAGGTGTGCTAAAATGACATGTCATTCTTTACAAACTCAATGCCATGATCCCGTGATGACTATGAGAAATTTAAGGGAAAAAAATTCTAATTTTAAGATTAAATGGACCCATTTTTTTCTCACTGACCGCTTAAAACCATGACCTTTCCTCCCATATTTACGCTAACGTAGGAGATTTTTCCTGGGGTTTCTAATGGTTTTCTTTCTGGTAGAGTGGGGAGTAGGGTAACAGATGATCCCCAGGCTGTCAATCCTTCCTTTCCCTCAGATGTCTCATACTCCTGCGCCACTTTGGGATGATCGTTGCCATCATTCCTGGATTTGCTTTGATGCCCAGGTAGGTTGAGTCCTCTATTTCCAGAAGGCCAAGACTGTCTTTATTGGCTATCCTTTTGTTTGGCTGTAGTTCACGTCCAAGGGGCCGTGGGAAGCTAATCTGGAAACGTCTTTGTTCTGCTGTGACAACAGATATGTCAGAACACCTCCGTGAGTCCCTGGGTGTCCTCTCCGGTGAGCGTGTGCCCCTTGAGTGCGGTCAGGGCTCTGACCTCTGTGGCGTAGTTTGCTTGGTATCACCGTGTCCCAGCAGGCTCGTGCAGGCTGGAGGGGATCTTGCGGTGTGTGCAGACCTGGGGTAAATGTGGGTGGCTTCTTAGAGCAGTTTTTTTTTTAAAGAAGGAAAATGCCCGAGGCAGCCCCCTCTCTCTGACATTAGGAGTTGTTAGAGATGTTCGAAGAACCCTGTTTGGTAGAGAGAAAAGGCATTTCTGAAAGAGGGTGGGCATCCTGGTTCCTCATTTTCAAGGCTATGTCGAGCCCAGAGCTAAGTGATCACAACGGTTTCTTGTTTGAGTCGGGGGGGGGGTCCTTTTTTGTTCATGTCATTCAGCATTGTGTGTGTGGGCTCCACTGGTGCTGGGAACATCCCACAGCCTGGGAGGGGCAGCTAAGACACGGCTGGACCTCTCCCTGGACAGTGATGCTCTGGGACCTCCATCCCTTACTCTCTGTCAGGGGCGAAGCTGCAGCTGCCAGTTCCCCAGCTCTCCCACCTTCCCCCGCTTCCCTCTAGAGATGCAGGAGTCCCCCTAGGGACCACTTCACTCTGCGTCTCTGCACCACGGCCTGGTCCCGAGCCCACTTCCCTCCTAAATCTCACAGTTCTGCCCTCCCTTTGGTCCGCTTTGGACTTCGGAATGAGCAGTCTTTGCATGGGATGTGGGGGCCTCTGGGGCTTGTGTGTCATGGTAGAGCTCTGTAAGTTGTACAGAACTGACAGCCATACAGACAACCCTCACTCTAGACGGGCAAATGAATTCTGTCCAGTGGCCGAGCAGTTGACTTTCTGCCACAGAAAAAGCCAGTTTTGTGCCTGTTGGAAATTCAGCATTCCTTTATTCTGTATTTTCTTTTAATTGAGCTGAAGTTCACAGGAAATTAACCACAGTAGAGTGAACCTCTCAGTGGCATTTAGTACATTCACAGGTGTTTGAAACCGCCACCTGTGTGTAGTGCTGAGACCTTTTCATCACCCCAGAAAGAACCCCCGGACCACTAACCAGTCACGCCCCCCTCCCTTAGCCAACCCCGTATAATTTTGTGGTTCTTTGACTTCTTTGAAGGCATTGTAACATCTCATGAATAATGAGTTATTAAATAATGTTTTTAACACACGATCATTTTAAAAAATGATCTTTTAACGACCATGCCACCCTTGACTAAGCTGCCAGCCCTTCTGACTGGGCAGTGCTGGTTTCCAGTGGTCTCCTGTGCCTCCTCCTGTCTGTCCTTCGTGGGATGCAGATGAGAATCTGGTCATGGAGGGTGACTGGGTGCTTCATGTGTGGACTTTCCTAGTCCTTTCGGGGGGGCTCTTTGGTGATATTTTGAAAAGAAGTCATCTTCCTAGGCTGGTGCTCTGTGCCCTGCCAGGCCAGTCAGTGTGTGTTGGTTAATTATCACATGTCCGGTGCTGTGTTGAGCAAGCCAGATGTTTACAGCTGTGGAGAGGGCATAGGGCCAAGAGCAGAAATACACCGAGTAAAGAAGGAAATTCCATACAGTCGGTGCCAACGGGCTTGCTTGGTATTTGTCAGCATTCTCTGAGCAGAGAGCAGGACCTTCACCCATGGAGTGTAATGGCCAGGACCAGACTCAGCCTGTTCCCAGGGGGCTGGGGACTCCCTGGCACCCCGTGTTCCCAGCAGACCTGCAGCACAACCTCCACATGTGAAGGTTGAACCTGGCCTCTAGCGAGGTCGGTCTCCCTCGTGGGGCGCTCACTCTGGTGACCCTGGCTCTTCCCACTCCCTCAGCACGTGGGGAGAGGCCACTCCCTGCTGTCTGAAACCAACCACAAGAGGCAGGTTGTTGTGACCTTGAGCAGAAAGAAAAGCATCAAGGCATTATTGTGGAAGTACCCGGAGTAACCCCGTTGAACAGAGACGAGCTTCTGTCCACTAAGAGGACTGGATTGTTGGATGAAAGATGGCTGCTGTCAAGATTTTCAACTCAGGAGGGATCCTGGTGCTTTTGGAAATGGGCGCGGACAGCTTTCAGTTCAAGGTGTCACTGGCCTGTGGTTTTCCATGATCGACTTTTGTTGTTTCTTGTCGACTGATACTTGGGTGCATTTTCCTTCAAATGTAAGACTTTCCATCATTGTAGAAAGAAAAACCTGTCTTGTGAAGAAAACACAGCTCTCGTATCACAGGGGTTTGCAGCATTTCCATGTCCTATCAGATGGTTGCTTGTTGCTGGACACATCAGTGTTGTCATGAAGGAAGTGTCGGGGACCCCTTCCCTCAGAGTCCCCACTCGTCTGCAGAAACCAGCTTTGCAGGTTTTCCCATCATAAATGACAAACGTGAACAGTCTTATTTGTGAGGAATTATGGCACTGTATCTGAATTGTGGAGGGAAGGTAGTGGGATGTCCAGCACCTATATTCACGAGAAGTCAGAGTTCAAGGATCTGGAGCCCAGTGGTGCCGAGCGACTTCTATGCATTTCCCTTTGGCTACGCAGAGAATGTCCCAGGTGGGGTGTGTGTGATCCCAGCCCAGCGCCTCGCTCTGCAGTTCGGGTCCCAGCGAAGCCCGAGGCTTTTCCTTCCTAACCGGATCCGAGCTTATTCAGCTGCTAGGAAGAGTGATTTGCTAAAACACACCCTCCCCTTCTGTCACATCTGAAGTGTTAATTGATGTGTTACTGAAGAAACGCTGATCCCAGACCCATCCAGGACTTTCTGTGGGGTTCATCCACCGTGGTTTGTATCCCTGTGCCTCTCTCCAGGGTAGGAGAAAAACGCAGATGAATGCCATGCTTAGAGGTTTATTTTGAGTGCTTTCCTCGTGTGTCCACATGCCTCACGCACCCTCCTCGGCTGGCTGAGGAGGTATGTATGACTGCGAACCACAGCAGTCTGCTCAGTGTCATGTGTGCAGAGTGATGCAGACCCACCCTTTGGTGCAGTCTGGTCCTTTCTACGCCCGCATTTATTGAATCCTGTCTTTGGGGGTGTCTTCAGCTTTATACTGGTGAGCGTCTGCTGGATGGGACCTTCTCTGTGTGGATACCCATCCCTGTTTCTCCTCCTTACCGGTAGCTAGACAGTGGTAGGGCTCACACTTGCTTACCACCACTGAGCCTTAGCATTTTTCCTTTCTTAGTTGTGTAGGGGGAGAATGGCATCTTGTGTTCATTTGTATTTTTCTGACTACCAGTGAGAGGAACGTTTCATTTCACACATTCGGTTGCAGCATGTTTAGAGAAGAGTCTTTAGCTTTCAGGAGAGCAGTGACCAGCTCAGTGGTGACCCCCCTGGAGCATGAGGGCCAGCATTTGGTGGTGGTGGTGGTGGTAGTGGGAGTGTTCCTGGTGGACATTTGTCTCCTTGAAGGGGCATGGGGAGCAGGGGTCCTGGAACACTGTGTGTCATGCTTTAGATGACTCTCGGAGCCCTGCCCACCCCTTGGAGGGGTGTCAGCTTAAGCAGAAGGTCCTGTGTGCAGTGTTTGTTGCTTCCAAGGAACGGCTGAGTTTTCCTCAGTGTGTGGGACGTTGGGCACGTGTGAGTGCTGTGATTTTCCTTTGATGTTGCTTCCCCCCGTTTCTCTTGCCCACCTGAACAGCCCCTGAACTGGTGGGACCTTATGGAACCTTGTGAGTCCTCAGGATGGTGGAAACCAGAGGTCTCAACTCTGCATCGGGCCCAAGTGTTCTGAGCTTCAAGTCGTTTGCAGCTGGTTGTCAAACGTAAAACTAAATCAGACTTAGTAAGAAGAGGCTCTATCAGGAAGGATAATTGTGGGGGAGCTGGGAGGGGACTTCTGCATTGGAGAGAAGTGTGAGCAGGAAACCACCAAGTATGTTAGGGGTCAGGGAAACTGGGTTTTTCCTTTGCAGGGTGGTGTAGACAAGGCTGAGTACCCGGGTGTGCGGCGGCGGGCGGAGCAGTGGAGTGAGTGGGTGATAGATCGAAGGATGTGCCCCCCCAAGGCCAGCTGTTCTCAGGGGGGCCATCCGAGGGCTCAACCTGGTGGTGGGAGGACGGAGGTCTAGGGGAGGGGGAGGAGCTGGACCCAGGTTGCATAACATGTGTTTGGTTATGATGGATCTGTGATGAGGCACAGAGTGGAATTTGGGGGCCTGTGTCTCACTGTGTCCTAGGTGAACGGGGGCTTCTGTCTTATCCAGCTCACGTGCAGGGAGCCCAGTCAGGCTCACAGAGGGAGGTCTAACCACCGATGACAGGGCCAGCGCAATGAAGGCTGCCAGGCTGAGCTCTGTGGGAACCGGGTCTGTCATGGTGGTGGCCACGCGGCTGCCCGGGCTGCAGGCTCCAACCACCTGGGTGCTGAAACCTCACTGGGCCACCCTGCCCCACCCAGGCCTTTCCCTCAGGAACCTGCTTCCATGGAAGGCGCATTTGAGCTGGGCTGTGACTCCGGGAAGGAGCGTCACAAGCAGGAGTGGCTATGGGGTCAGAAGGGCCGGGCACGGGGCCGCTGGCCATCTGCAGGGTTGTGGCCGCAGCTGCCCGGTGGGGCTTGGTTAGGGGGCTTAGGGCTCCTCCCGAAGAAGGCCGGGAGCTCTGTGGAGGGAAGGAGCCCTTGCAACGGCCTTCTCAGCATCTGAGCCTCTGAATTGGGGGATGTTTCATAGGCCTGCTCTGCTTTTAAGGTTTTTCAAAACCCTCACCAGTTCCGGGCCTTTTTTGGTTTCTTCCTTCCTTGTGTTCAGTCTCCTCTTCCCACCCCCCCCTTCTATCTTGCCCTGATTCTGGTTTTTACATGCGTAATTCATTTTAAAATGTAAGTATTGTGGAAGTAAGAAGCTTGAACAGCAACAGTTGACTACCATGTGGTCCTAACTGAGGGACCAATTTGGGAGCTGTGTTATTGTAACTTTATTTAATCACTCACCCTGTGGCTGGCCAGGCCTGACACGCCCCCGCTCCCCCTGCAGCCCCTGGAGCTCATGCACAGTTTGTGTTTCACGTGAACCTTGGGCAAGGGGGGTGGCCTGGATGGAATCAGGGTCCAGGTGACACTCTTTGCTCCCAGTTATTCAGATGCTGCGTTTGGTCTCACCTGGCCAGGTGAGCTGCACCCCGGGACTGAGTCCAAGGGGCCTGTGGAGTGGCCGCAGCATTTAGTCTCTCTCACTCTCTCCCCCCACCCCTTTCTCTCTCTCTCTCTGTGTGTGTGTGTGTGTGTGTGTGTGTGTAGTGGGAAGGAGGGTAGGGGCTTCTGGCTCACGGTTTGCTGTGCTAACACGCCCCCTTTTCTCATTCTATCTCAGACTCTGCCATCAGCAGGTGGTGGAAAGAAGCCACACCCCCGTTGCTGAAATGTTTGACGACACCGATCATCAGGTAGGAGATGACATCCACCTGCAGAGAGCGGTTGTGTTTAGAAGTGGCTCCTGAGCAGGTCTTGTCAGAGGTCATCAGACAGCGGCCTCATCCGTTTAGTACGCCTGCGGCTCCGGCCATTAACTGGAGAGCAGAGCAGAGAGCTGTCGCGGGGAGGCCCAGACGGTTCTGCTTCACTGTTCCTGGTCCGTCTGGGGGCCACGCTGAACATGCGGGCCCAGGGATGGGGCGTCCATGGTCAGCGCCGGTTTCCCGGGCAGGAGGGGAAGGGCCAGGCTGCAGAGTCGGGTTGCCGCCCAGTGTTAGCGTGAATGCTGGCTCAGAGCCTCCTGGCGTTCTCTCCATCGCTGCGTTTGGTGCCGCTCCCCTGCATGGGCTCACAACCCAGGTCCTCCAGCCTCACAGCCTGGCCCTCAGACCTAAACCAGGGTTTGAAGCTTCGGTACCTGCTGTTGTCCTGGAGGGGCCGTCTTCCGTTCAGGGACCGCCTTGGACACGTCTTGAATTTCCATCACGTTTATGTGCTCTGATTGAGCCAGGAGAGAAGAGGCCTTCAGAGGGAGCCATCCTGTCTGAGTGGGGGCCAGCAGCCTAAGAATAAGCTTCTAGGAGAGCTAGAACAGTGACCAGGACCCTTGGTGGTAGCTCTGGACACGGCGGTGCAGGAGGGCGATGGGAGGACCAGGTGCCAGCCCTGTCAGGTTAGGAATCTCCCCCTTTCCTTACCTTTGACATTATAAGCAGTCTGCTTACAAAAGACAGTTGAAAAGGAAAGGCTGAGGAAAAGTAAAAACTAGTCTACAGCTTGTACTGAAGTGAAGAAAACAACTCATTTTAGGATTCAAATGCCAGTTTGAAGTAGCTCATCGGGAAATGTCACATCGGTGGGTTCTTCATGTGAGGACAGAGCAGGTGTGTCCTTCCATTGCCACTGCGGACCGTCCGTCCGTCCGTCTCTACGGTGAGAGTCCTGGGATGTGCCATGAATCAGGGTCAGCCTCTGCATGGAGCTGACCGCTGGGATCATGTGTACCCCCATGAGAGCAGGAACCAGGTGGTCTGGGAGGCCCAGCTTCAAGACACGGGATGGTCAGGGGTACTGGGGTGCCCGCTGTGGGGCCGTAACCTGCCCACAAGCATCCCCAAATCCTGGGACAGGAGGGGCCCTGAGGGGCTCTGCAGCCTCCCAAGGTGGGGTTCAGAATGTGGATGTCTGCCTCGGGGATACGATTTTGTTTCACCTGCGATTCCTTCCCCATAGACCCGAAGTCTTCAATCTTAATGGGCTTGTTTATAGGGAGAACTTGAGTGGAGAAAGTGAGTTACTCTGCGTGCTTTTATGTTGGTGCAGCCTAGGCATTAATAGTCTCACAGTCTTAGTCTTGACCACCTGTGCCGTGTGCTGCCTGGGTCCCAGGGTGGCCCCCGAAGGTAAGGTGCTCCACAGATATGGGATAGGCCTGTTGGTAGGAGGTGTAGTTTATTTTTCACAAGTGGCATTCAGTGTCTTGCAGAGCTGAGAGTAGGACAACTGTAGGTGTAAGTGACGCTGAAGTGGGAGTTAATTAGCTCTACATGTGTTAGAAAGCCAGGGAAGGTTTCTTTGGTGTCCTGTGTGCAGCCCTGTGAGGCTATCACCTGGACAGCGTCCCATCATCACCCCCTAAGGGCATCCAGGGTCTTGTGGGTGCTGCTCAAACTAATGGTGAGTGGTCTGAGCTTTTAGTCTCTGAAGACTGGCCTGAGGGACTGAAAGATCATGACTCATTAATGTAAAAACTGCACACGACTGACTACCCTAACACTCATCCGTGCATGGTATGTCCTGTCAACATGTCCTGTCAAGGCCTGCGGTAAAGATTATTTGACAGGAACAACAGATTGCAGACAAGGAGGCACATTAGAGCAGTATTTCTAAAAGCCACTGTAACACGGAGAGCCTGAGGGCCAGGGGCCAGCGCCGCTGTCTCTAGTGAGAGAAACTGCCCATGGATGCTGGTGCTCCATCCGTCCTGCTGAGGACGGGGCTCCGAGGAGCCAGGACCTCCCTCCTTCCCCGCCGCTCACCTCTGATCGTGCAGGGTCCATTTATAGTGACTGGAATCTTCGAAGCTGTCAGCCACACCTTGACCCACATTGTCCAGTGCCGTGGCTGACACCGCAAGGGCCGAGGAGGGCTCCACGTGTGACTGGCGTTAATACACGGCAGGTTTTGAAGTGACACAGAAGTGAGTGTGGGATGTCTTATCCATGTCTTGTATTATTATTTTTTTCATTTTTGGGGTTTTTTTTTGGGGGGAGGGGGTTAGATAATTATGTTTGTTCATTTATTTTTATTGGAGGTACTGGGGATTGAACCCAGGACCTCGTGCACGCTAGGCACGCACTCTACTCCTAAGCTGCATCCTCTCCTCACTCTTGTCGACGTTATTAATAACGCACTGAGTCAGCTGTGCTCTGGGTAGGTGTTGGGTTGAGCGAAACGTTCTATCAACACTGACGTGACCTATTTGTTTTCACTCACAGTGTGACTTGCAGTCTCATCTGAAATCAGGCATGTGGCTCACAGGTGCGGCCCGCCTGGTGTTTCTGTGGCAGGCACAGACCTAGACTGTTCCGCGGTGCCCTGTGCATTTGGGTTCCTCCTTCTGTCACCGCCCAGCCCGCAGGTTGGGAGACACAGATGAGGAACAGGAGTATCAGGCTTCGAGGATACTTTGAAGCCAGATCTGAGCGCTGTTGTTTCTGCATTTCTGCCGACAGTTGCACAGAGTGCCGGGCCTCATCCAAGAAATGGATTCTGTGCTCAGATCGTGTTTCCCCTGCGCAGGGAGCCCAGCTCTCTGCTTTGGTGAGCACGCTGCTGCCCTGAAAGGCTATCCCGGCGCCCCGCTGTGCAGGCTGCCCATCATCTGGGCTCCCCGTTGTCCAGGCTTTTGTCTCCCTGTTTTCTGTGGGTACAGAAATGTGCAGTGAGTCCGGCCTGATCTTCCCTTTGTAGCTCTGTTCTGTGCACACTGGTGGGCCTGCCAAGCCTCAGAATCAGCAACGGCTTTGAGGAACTGCTGCCAGGGGTCTGGCGAGAGGAGGGACCACTGTAACTTTCTCCCGCCCTTGGAAGTCTTGCTGACGACTTTTGCTGGCAGACATTTTATTGTTTTGTGTACAGATTCTGCTCTTGAGCGTGTCTGAAATGCTTGTGCATCATATGGTGTAAGATGCCTGAGAAAGGGGGAGTCTGGTTTTATCTCCTTCCAGTGTGCCAGAGCTGACTCTTCAGTAATGCGTGTTTTGACCAATGAATTGAACTTCAACTCTGTGTTGTATTGGGGTCTCATGTAAACTGGTTCCCTTCAGTGGTTCTGGAGAACCATCCCACTGCCCCGTTTGTCTTCCACGTGCCAGCATCACATTGGTGCCAGCTGTATGTAGAGTGTGTTTCGTGTCCACGTTTATATGTGTCTTGTGGCTCTGGGGCAGAGGAAGATTTGGGTAGATGAATGATGGGTCAGGGGGCAGAAGGTCTGGTGGAGGTTGGAGGGAGGGGTGAAGTGAAAAAGGACCCAAAGACTGTCACGTTATGTAAAATGACTCCTCTGTGCATGCAGAATTCTGAAAACTTATTCAGCAAGTGAACTAGTAGCATCTAAGGAATAAGGCACTAAACAGAGAACAAGTTTATCAGGGGGGAAGTGAAAAGATAACATTGCACTTGCTTAGCTTTTGTGTCCAGGACTTGCCGTGCCATGGGTTCTCTCATGACTTTGAACATGGCGGAGCGCACTTGCCCTTGGCCTGTGCAGATGTGCAGATGTTACTGTATCCAGGCACCCCACGCCTGACGGCTGCCCTCTGGCACTCACACCTGGGCACCGATTCAGGTCCCCTGGACAGCAGCGCCCCGTGTCCCCCAGATGCCTTCTGGCTCCCTGAAAGCCCTGTGTTCCTCCACATGCGCTCTGTGCCCGTTTCTGCAGTGCTGCCCGAGCTGGACCGGCCCCACTCACACTGGGAGCCCGATGAGGTCGGGGCCTGTGCTTGTCCTTCGGCGGCCCTGCCCCCGCCCACAGGGCAGGTGGAGGTGTGCCTTGAGCTTTGTGCACTGACCCCACACAGGACTGACAGTTGACAGACTCACATAAGGAAGCTGGGCCACAGGAGGTGGGAGTCGGGTGGGGTGGTAGGTGAGTGTAAGTGCAGCAGGCACAGGGCTGTCCTGTCATTCTGTGCCCCACAAAGTCCTCCTCAGCGGCTGCTGGTGGCCTAGCCTGCTTCACGAGTGGCAATCATGGGCGGGTAGGGTTCATGCGTTTCGCAGGGCAGGCTCATTTGGCCAAGCAAGTTTCTGTCCTGCTAGAGTGTGGACCTTTCATCGTGTGTTGCTCTGTCTGTCAGATAGGTGTGGCCAGTCCCTGTACAGCTTATGACCGACAGTCAGACACTCAGGGTGTGTGTCAGTCACCTGTGTCCACGTCATGTCCCACCTTCCTTCATCACTGGGCCTGTCAGCCAGGCCTCCATCCCGGTGACCGTGTGACCAGAGGTGGACAGCGGGAGCCCGAGCCCGTGCCCGTTGCGGACGGCACACGTGGGTTAGCGCCTGCTGTCACCAGACATCACGGCATCCCAGGCTGGAGAGCCCGAATTGCCCGTGGGAGCAATTGAGTTGCCAGTGCTGCTGCCTGTGGGGGTGGAAGGTGGGGTCGGGGGTGCTGGGTGCCGGTCGGAGGCCATGTCTGGGAGGCTGGGCCTGTGCTGTCAGACTCGGGTCCGCCTCCCTGACCACCGCCCAGCTTCTCACGTCTGTTCAGGACCAGGCGTGGGCGCCAGTATCTGCGCTGTGCCCCCTTCCAGGCCCTGCAGAGTGGCTCGAGTGCCCCTGCCCCACCACCGCTCACAGAGTGACGGTCCCTGGGTTCAGCCCCCTCACAGGTGGGCATGCTGGTGGGCAGTGGTCAGGAGGCAGAAGAGATGCTTGGCCAGCACAGCTTTCCGCGTTGGTTTTGCTCACCTCACCTCCCTCAGCGCCACTGCGCAGCCACTGCAACCAGATGCTTCTACTCTCCCTGTTCCCAGGGCTGGACCCTGACGCTTGGAGGGGCCGAGGGGCTGGCCCAGGACCTTGCAGGTGAGCCTGGAAGAGGGCCAGCTCCCCGTCCTCCTCCTGGAGCCCACCTGAGGCCCTCGGTGACCGTGTGGCCGGACTTGTGTGATCCCCAGGCACCGAGGGCCCGCCCTGGGCAGGACCCCTCCTCCCTCCCTGCCCGGCTCTAAGGCGCCTTTCTCCTCGGGGGACAGGAGCTCCTCACCCTGCCCCGCACCCCTGAATGAGCCTACACAGGAGAACCATCAGGCCCACATCACGCACAGCAGGACATTGAAAGGGAGGTGAATGGGGCTGACGTGTTCCACGGCCCGATGGTTGCTCACTGCAGGGCCGTGTCATGGCCCGAGTGGGCCCAGCTGCCTGCGTCCTGTCCCCGTGTCCCCACCCAGCCTGTGCCCTGGAGACCCTTCGGTGTCAGGACCGACGCCCTCGGCAGCAGAGCTCCTCGTGAGAATGGGGTGGCTGAGCCACACCGTGTCCTGAGTGCTGTCCCCTCTGAAGGGTCAGGGAGCTGGCTGGCGAGTGCTTCCCCCAGAGAGGTGAGGCCAGCTGGGCCGGGAGTCAGGGGCTTGGCTCTTTAGGGTTTGATGCCAAGAGGCCCAGCATTTTCTTTCTTTTTTCCAGATGGCATGACTTGTTAGTTTCTACTAGAAAAATCCAAAAGGATTTGCAAACTGCTGGGTAGAAGAGTGTGTAAAGGTCAGAGTTCAGTCTTTGTTCTGAGTGCCTGACCTGTGTGACCTTGTTAAATCCTCTGACTGCTTGCGATGTCGTATCAGCATCCCTGGTTCATTGACGAGGGGGTTGTGTACAGTGAGGCTGAGTACCTAGCACCTCCCAGCATTTTCTTAATATTCGTATAGACCGGTTTTTGTTCTCCCGGCTCAGTTGAGTGGGAGTGGGTTGAGTAAGCAGGCAGGCATCCGTCTCTCCCCCTCCCTGAGTGACCTAGGCCTGAGTGACCGGCCACCCTTCACGAGGACAGAGGACTTTGTGAGGTGTCCACCTGTCTGTCCAGTTGGTTAGCAAGGAGCCAGGGCTGAGGCTGTGATGGGGCAGGCGCACCGCTGGCGGGGGGGTGCTCCTGGTGGGTTTCCTGGGCAGCTGATTCAGGCCCCTGTGGACATGTCACAGCAGATGTCGACACGGGGCTGGACACGGGGCTGGGAGCGTTCGCCACCTTTCTTTATTGTCTGGATTGCGTTGATTTTTTGGCGTCTTCCTTTCACATGTGGTTGGTAAGAAGCAGGTGAAGGAATGCTCCCCAAGGGACCTGCCACCTGCAGGTATGACCGTAGGTGAAGGGGGTCTCCAGGCCACACTGTCCAGCGGCTGGCAGCAGGCTGAGCATGGGTGGAACCTGCAAGACTGGCTTCAAGGCGCCCTGGGGGTTTTGCACAAAGTAGGAAATGTAGTTATCATCCAGGGTCTTCCTTCTAATGTAAGTTGACTGAAATAAATGCACAACCTAAAAGTTGAGAGTTATGTCTTACTCGGTGGACATTTCTGAGGACTGGACCCCCTCCGAGCCCAGGGTGACAGCCTGTCAGAGCCCTCTCAGAGACTGCTCTGCAGAGGTAGGGGAGGAGCCAGGATATATAGGAGTTTTACAACAAAGACGAGATAGTGGGAACACTAAAAGATTACTGTTAACTAAAGGAAGCAGACACCTCAAGTTAAAGAATCTAGTGCTTTTCTGTGTATGGGAAGGAGCAAATGACTGGGCTCATTGAAATCATTCCTTTGATCTGCACCTGGCCTTCTAGGGCCTGTATCCTGTTACTTCCGATCCTAAGTTCCCTCAGGGGGCACCACTGCGGGTGACTGCAGAGGCCAGGCTGCCTGATGGCCACAGCATTCTTTGTTTATTTATATGTCTTGCTGTATTTTCCGTTCACGTGTAGTTTTGTAAAGTGAGGTGCACACCGGGTGCCTTGTCCTTTAGGACTCAAGTGCGTGAGAGTGTGAGAACTGGGCAGGGCACTGTCCCTGGGGGCTGGGCCGGACGAGAGGGCCAGAACCACACCAGAAACTCCACTGTGCCTGCCTGAAAAAGCGCCAGTGTTCAGGGGCCACATAAAAAGAGACTGGCCGGAAAGTGCCCAGGCTGGCAACTGTGGAGGAAGAATTCTGAGGTTACAGTTAACATCGAAATAGGGAGGGCTCTGAATGGGGGCGCTTGTAATCCTTCCAGAATTGGGGTAAAATTTGCATCTGAATGACTCATCAAGTCAAGATTGCCCTGGAGTACGTGGTTGCCTTCTAATTTTCCATTAACAGTTATTTGCATTTTCATTCGACCAGCATTCTTACAATTAATACTGTATTGCCAGCTGCCCTTCTCCTGACTTGTCCTAGCGTGGATTTCCGAGCTGGCATCGACCACACTGTTGGCATCACCCACATGGAGCGTGTGCGGGAGTGGTGCTCTCCCCTCTCGGCTGCCGCCATCCAGCATGGCACCTGGGTGGACGCTGAGCTCTCAAGTCTCTGGCTAACTCAGCCCTCACAAGGCAAGATAGGTGTTGTTTGGACTTCCCAGGATTAAAAAATTACAACTTAATTACTTTTCAGAAAATGGGAGACCACTTAGGAGATAAAGCAGAAGTTGTGCCCATATAGGGCCACATTACCAAATAGTAGTAGGGGTCTGCTGGGGTCTACGGGAGGCAGAATAACGGTCCCTCAGGATGTCAACATTCAAATCCTTGGGACCTGTGAATATGTTACTTACGTGGTAAAGGGACTTTGCAGGTGTGACTAAATTAAGGTCGTCCAGATAGGGAGATGATCATTGTTGATCTGGGTAGGCCCTAAAGGTCATCATAAGGTTCTTAATGAGAGAGTCAGGAGGGCAGAGAGGAGAGAAGATGCTGTACTGCTAACGTAGGAGAGGAAAAACTTTTACTCTACTCTTAAGTTCGTTTTCTGGGGCCTGTGAATTAAACTGACAACAGATTATTAACAGGGGAAAAGCCATGCAAAATGTAATACTGTTACGTGCATGGGGGCTTTACACAAAAGAAGTAACAACCCAAAGCAGCAGGTAGACTTAGGGTTTATGTATCATTTTAACAAAGGGCAATAAGTTATGAAGTGACAGGACAAAGGGAGGGGGTTGGGTTCCTTGGAACAGTGAACTGTGGGAAGGTGATGCGGAAGGTAGGGTAGTTGAAGAACGTTTAGGAAGGGTGTTATGCAGACTCATCTCAGTGCCATACCTGGTACACTTTTTGAGAGAGAAATTTATGTCCTGCTTTTAGGTACCTGGAGGAGGGCATTCCTCTTGGTATCTGCTGATCTCGGGTGCCTTCAGCTCAAAATATTCCTTATGCCAAAGTAGCCACTTTGGCTTGTCCTCTTCACTGGCTTTTGAGGTGGAGGAACGAGCCACCAGCCGAGGAATACAGGACTCCTCTGGAAGCTGGAAAAGGCAAGGGGACAATTCTCCCGGGAGCCTCCAGATGGAATGTAGCCAACCCTTGGGTTTTAGCCCAGTGAGTCCCACGTCAGACTTCTGACCACCAGAACAGATTTGTGTTGTTTTAAGCCACCAAGTTTGTGGTGATTTTTTTTTTTTTACAGCAGCCATAAGAAACCAATGTCGTTCATTCCGTTAAGAAGCGGTTTTGGGCTCAAGGGAGCTTCACAGCCACTTATGGAGGGAAGATAAATGAAGCCCTTACTGAGCAGCAGAGAAAGTGTAGAATCTAGTGTGAAATTGCATCCTACGGGCCAGTGGTATTCAGACTTTAGGTAAGAATCACCTGGGGGCTTACACAGACACAGGTTGTGGAGATGCAGAGGGTGCGGGAGCCGAGAATGAACCCACGGGTCGGAGCTGCTGTTGCTGCTGGCCTGGGAGGGAGCTTTGTGTCACACCATCTAGACCACAGGCACTGCCAGGTTTAGAGCAGAGAGCAGCTCGGGAGGGGCTGGAAGAGCTGCTGGCTTGCAAAGGGTGGTAGGATTTAACAATAGCAGGGAAGGAGGGGGGGGGTGTGTGTCCGGGGACACGTCCAGTGGGAGTGGAAGCATGCTGGGGCTCTGCCCTGACCTCAGCTTCGTGGAGAGGGAACCCCCTGCTCGGGGCAGGAGCAGTCAGCGTTGGCCAAGCCGTCCAGGCTCCTCTCTCATGCAGCGTCTTTTCCCACCCCAGGGGCCTGCCCAGGAGTGCACTGTGCATGGGGTGCTCATGCGTTCGGCCCAGGCTCAGGCCGTGGGGCCTGGGTTTGCACGACCGAGAGGACACAGGACCATGTGAATGAAACAGGGGCGAGCAGGGCCCAGAGCCGTCCTGACCAGAGGCCCTGTGGCCGCCCCGTCCTTGCTGCTCACTGGGCGGCTGCTGGTTTTAGGTGTGGGGCCCTGCAGTCTGGCCCTAGGGACTTGGGGGTATGTCTTTTCCAGCTTGTGTTTCTGTGGGGTTCACTGTTTCAGCCCCGCAGTGGGCCCATGGGTTTCAAGAAGTATCTGTACAGCTATAGATTAGCTCTGTGTCGATGGCCAGCAAATTTATTTCCTTTGTGGATGTTTCTGGCTTGTTCTGTGCCTTTTCCTGAAAGTTAGAAGGTCTGAGTATTATGCCGGCAGCCCGCTCCCTGCCCATCCTTACAGGGTTGGGTCTGCAGGAGGGTTCACCCCTGTGAACTTGGTTTTTGGTGGCATTGCCCTCTCTGGGGTGGGAGTTGACTGTGGTCTCAGCTGTGTGTGTGTAGGAACGAGCTTTTGGAAATTGTTTACACTTTCCACCAGAGGTACTGTTGATGACGTCCCCTTTCAGGTGAAGACTGCGTCAGGAGCCTCCCCCAGATCCCACCCTGAGGGAGAATCTCTCCCAGTGAACCAGGAGAGCTGTGACCCCCCCGTCAGGTCTCTTTCTCTTTTAACCGCTAGCATCTGTATGTAACTAATTTGTTAGCTCCAGCATTCTCAGCTCTTACTTTATTTAAGAATAACACACACATGAACACCCCCACCCCCCAGACACCACACCCCCACATTGCACACACACTGCACACACCATACACACACCTATACATTACGTAGGTCACACACAAACATGTATTCCCGCTGAGCTCAGGTCTCTTTTGGACGTCAGCCTGGGTGTCACCATGGAGTGTGTGGCTTAGATATCTTGGTGGAAGAGGGAGCCTTGGTCCACAGGGTGACCAGCAGCCTCTTGCTGACGTCCTCACTTCTGGAGTTTCCTGGAGCCTGGCTGTCCAGACCCTGACCCCTGACTCCACCTTGCACTGAGCGTCCCCAGTCACATGGTGGGAGTAGGGCAGCCATGGAGTGGGAACCAGCGCACATGGGACAGGCCTGTCTGACTGGGCAGGCTATGGGAGCCCACTTTTCAGAAGTACCACTACATCTCCCAGCCACGGTCTGGCCCATCCTGGAACTCAGACACTGGGAGACGGCCCCCAGTCCTGCTCCCGCACGCCAGTGTTGCCTGTGTTCTCCACACAGAAAAGCCCGTTCCGGCGGGTGGGCCCTGGCAGAAGGGGCGAGTCAGCGGGGGCGGAGGTTCGGGAAGGGGAGTCGGCTGCCGGTACTCCAGCACTGTCTCCTATGCTCCCCGATGCTGCCCAGCCCTCCACCTCTCTCCACGTGCAGGGGAGCTGTTCTGCCTCCCCTGTGACTCTTGCGTCTTGTAGAGAAGAGCCATGGAAAGGTTGGATGTCAGGGATCCCCAGACGCTGGTGTCTTCTCACTTGTCCCAGCTCCCTGCACGTCTGAGTGACCCCCTCGTTGGCTCCGGCACCCTGGGGTGCCAGGTGCAGTGCTGGGTGGTGATGATGCGGCTGTGGGTGGGCACACCTGAGGCACGTTGACCGAATGCCCTCTTCCCTGCCTCGGAATGGAGTATTACACGATATAGACAGGTCACGTTTTCTGCATCCATTCCTTCATCAGTGGACACTTGGGATGCTTCCACCCTTTGGCTTGTGAAAAAGGCTGCCATGAACATGGGTGTGAGACCCCACTTCCAGTTCATTTGAGTGTAGACTTGGAAGTGGAATTAATAGATCATGTGGCAATTCTGTGTCTAATTTTTTGAGGAAACGTCCATATAGTTTCCCACAGCAGCTGCATCGTGTCATACTTGCACCCCCAGTGCACCAGAGTTCCAGTGTCTCTACACCCTTACCAA